ACAGCTTCGCCGCCTGGGGCGGAGGCGGCGGCGGGCGCGAGCGGCGCGCTGCAAACGAGGGGGAGCCAGCGGCGCAGCTCGGCGAGCCAGTTGCCACAGAGAGACTTTGGGCAGACGACGAGCAGCGGCCACTCGTCGCGGTAGCAGAGGGCGACGCTGAGCGCCTGCACGCTCTTTCCCAACCCCATCTCGTCCGCCAAAAGCACCCGCCCGCCGTGAGAGAGGGCGAAGCGGACCCCCTCGCGCTGGAAAGGGAGCAGCGCCTCCCGCATGGGCGATGGCAGCCGCTCGTACCTCGCCTGGCCAGCGGCCTCGCCCTCCGGGGCAGAGTACTCGAGTGCGCGCTGCCCCACGTCGCTCGCCGCCATGCGCAACCGCACCCGCCGGCCGCCGCCTCCCCCGAGCAGCACCGCCGACAGCTCGCGGTAGCTCCCCATCGGGCAGACCAGCTTGCGAGGCCCGCCCTTGACGCCCGGCAGCACGCGCACCCCCGCCACCGCCAGCAGCGCCTCCGACGCGGCGACCGCGGCGAGCGGCGGCGGGAAGGTGGCGCGCAGGACGGGCAGCCCGCCGAGCTCCTGGTCCACGTCCAGCTCGACCTCGCTCACGTCTGCCGCCGCAGCCGCAGACCCCGCCGCACCAGACGCCCCGGCGGCGCACGCCGCCGCCGCGCCTGCCGCCGCCGCCGCGCCGCCCGCCACGCCGCCGCCGCCCGCCACGCCGGCGCTGCCCGCCGCCGCGCTCGCCGCCGCCGCCGCCGCCGCGCCCTCCTCCGCAATCTCCCTGCCCTCCCCCTCGCCGGCGGCGGCGGCGGGCAGGGCAGGCAGGGTGGCGGCGGAGGGCCTCGCAGACGTTGCGACCTTGGCCCGAGGCTGCTGGCGGGCCGGGGAGGCGCCCGCCGCCTGCAAGACGCCGAACGGCCGCGGCGCGCCCCCCTCCCCGCCGGCTCTCGGCGGCACACTCCAGCCGGGCCCGCTCTGCCCGACACCCTGCCCGTGGTTCCGCGGCGATGGCTGCAGTGGCACCGCACCCCAAGACTGCCCCGATGGCTGCACCGGCGCTGGCTGCAGAGGCGGGCGCAGTGGCGACGGGTGCGGCTGCTGCGGCGCCGGCGGACGCGCGGGCGGGTGCGTCGCGTGTAGCGGCGATGGACGCGGCGGCGGAGGCGGCCGCAACGGCGACGGGTGCTGCTGCCGTGTCGGCAGCAGCCGCTGCCCTTGCTGCGGCGACGGCTGCCGCGGCATTTGCGACGGCGGCAGCCATGGCCGTGGCGGCTGGGGCTGCGGCGGCTGCGGTGGCGCTGGCTGTGGCTGCGGCGGCGTGAGCAGCTGCAGCGTCGGACACTGCTGCGGCATCTGAGGCGGCCCGGGTGGCCGCGGCCGCCATAATGGCTGCTGCGGCGCTGGAGGCGGCCCCGCGGGGCGCAGCGGAGGCCGAGGGCCAGCCGCAGCCAACGGGCCGCTTGCGGGCCGAGGCAGCAGCGGCTGCGGCGGTTGCTGCTGCTGCTGCTGCTGCTGCTGTGGACGGTGAGGCGACTGCTGAGGCTGCAGTGGCTGCTGCACCAGCGCCGCCCGGCGGCTCAACGCGATGCGCCGCTTCTCCTCAATCTCGGCCGCGCTGTAGTGCCGAGACGCCATTGACAATGAAGGGGCGCCGCGGGCGGTCGAGCGGATACAGACAAGGCGCGAAAACAAAATAAAATAAAATGTATGTGTGAGTGAGTGAGAGAGAGAGAGAGAGAGAGAGAGAGAGAAACCGCCAATGGCCGTTATCCGTTAGTGCGGACGTCGCCGCGGCTCGCCTCTGCCGCGGCGGCTGCTGCGCGCACGCGGCGGCGCCGCTCTCTCGCGAGACGGCTGGCGACGCGGCTCGCCGCCGACGTACGGTGCGCTCGTCCGACGGTCCGCAGCGTGGCGTGCGCGGCGCTGAGCGCCGCTCTGCGAGCGCCTCTGCGCCTGCACTGCCTGTCTCTGTTGATGCTGGTGGTGGTGGTGCTGCTGCTGCTGGTAGATCTCATCTCGCAGTATAGCATGCGACATCGAAACACATCTGCGCGCCTCGACACGCCATCAGCATCCATCCCCACATGAGGTTGCGTCGGAACTCACATCTCTCCGCAGAGTCCGCGCGTGGTCAGTCTGCGATCTCCATCGCTCCGAGATGGTCTCCCTGTGGGGTGTGTGAAATTGCATCAGCCAGGAGCCTCTCCAGCACCACGATGGCGTGCCCGCGGACTCTCGCCGCGAAGTGGGTGCTGCGCTCTGGGAGGCGAATGTTGAGATTGAGCCGCTCGTATGCGCATCGCATAGTGGCTTCAAACCCTCCGCTGATCGTGACGAGTCCGAGCAGATGCTTGATGCTCTGCACGAGCACGCCGGTCGAGATGCGCCCAACGCGACTCTGGCTGGGTGCGTTATAGTATGTGGCTGCAGTAAGCACAAACTGCAGTACCTCGATGGCCTGCTGGCGGAATCGGCCCGCCGCGGGCAGATTGAGCCGCCTGTTGGCCTCTTGGATGGTGCGGAGAGGGGAGGTGTGCGGGTCGAGATTGAGCAGAAGCTTGATGCTTTCGAACATCTGCACGGTGTGTATCGCTATCTCCGGTGTGTCGACGACCGCAGCCGTCGAGATCCTCATGCCCACTGCCGGCGGCTGGGCAATGGGCTCTGCATCGGCAGTGGGCGTGTGGGTCTCTGCGTCGACATCCTCCTGACCATCCTCCTGACCGTAGACATCGTCCTCCAGCCGGGACAGGCGCTGGCGGATGTCGCTCGCCCAGCCGAAGACGAGCACGACCAAAGTAAAGGCCAGCAGGGCATAGACGTGAGAACCCCCCGTTGCGGGCGAGAAGGTGCTCCAGTAAAAACTGCGCTTGTCCGCATCTTTCTCGGTGTAGCCGTACGGGGTAGCCGACATCGGCACTTTGAAGGTCCCGCGCTTGGCACGGCCGGCAACGGCCTCTCCGTGCTCTCCCTCCAAGGAGCCGCGCAAGGAGTCGCGCATGGCACGGCCGGCATCGGCCTCTCCGCGCTCTCTCTTGGCGAGCTCGCCGACGTTCATGCCTTCACCGGGCAGCGCTGCCATGTCCGGCACCTGCGTGTCGTCGTGAGCAACGAGGGGCGGCGGCGACTGGGAGTGGTGTTGCGAGCGATGAGAGAGTGCTGCGGATTGGATCAGCAGCAGCATGCGAGTCGCTCGGTCTGCCCTGCCTTCGAACGACGCAAAATGAAATCCGAATGTAATCAAACTCGGCGCTGTGAACACGACACACGCATTCGATTGCAGGAGTCAGGTCACAGAGGCGGCCGATGCCGTTGGTCTCCCGATGGCTGTGGCGCGCCGATGCCTTCGGCGTTAGCCGGTGGCGGAGGCGTGTCTCTCTGACTGACTAACTGACGGACTGCGTGCGCGCGTGCGCCACCCCCCGCCCCTCCCCCGCCCCTGTTGCCGCCGCGCCGCCCCTCTCACTGCACCCTCCGCCTCTGGGCTCCCTCGCCGCAGATGTGGAACCGCGCTATGCACAAGGACCGCAAGATCATGGCGGGGAAGGACCCGCGGGACCTGTCCGCGTTCGAGCCGTCCGTGGTGAAGCAGAAGACGCGGCTCGTCGTCTCCTTCTACTTCCGCAACTTCGAGCACGGTGAGGCGCTGACCAAGCTGTACCGCGAGTTTGTCGCCAAGGTGATGGACCTCGCGCGGCAGAAGGCCATCGGCTGCCCCCAGGAGGAGTCGTTCCACAACACCGAGACGCTCTCCGCGCTCGTCGAGGAGTACAACCTCGCGCCGGTCCTCGCGTCCTCCTGGACGGGCAAGCTCAACCAGACGGAGAAGCTGCAGCTCGAGCGCAAGATCGGCGACGAGTCACGGCGCATCGACTTCGGCCTCAAAGTCGCCGCGAGTTGCCTCGACCTCTCCATCCAGATCGGCACGCAGCTCACCGTCGACGGCTGCACCCACCTCTACAACGAGGTGACCAGGGAGCTGGTGCCCTTCCCGATCGTCGACCAGCACGATCTCGTCTACCTTGTCGTCTACCTCGACCTCGACCTCGGCATGTGGACGCACGTGATGGTCGACGAGATGCAGGACGTGACCCGGATCCTCTACCTCTTCATACTGCAACTCGTCCGCCGGCGCGCCAACCTTTTGATGGTGGGTGACCCGGCGCAGTCGATGTACTACTGGATGGGCGGCGATAAGGCGCCCTGCCGTCACCCCTCCCGCCTCGCGCCCGCCTCGCCTAACCCTCCCCCCGCATCCCCCCTTCCACGCCCCCCCCCCCCCCCTCTCCTGACACTGTACACGTCATGCTCGCCACAGGCGACGCTCGAGCAGATGCTGCACGGCCGCGAGCAGTACACCCACATGCTCAACTACCGCAGCGCCCGCAGCGTCATCGAGGCGACGCAGCCGGCTCTCGCCGCCACCGGCTCCACCGACACGATCGTGCAGATTCGCGACGTCGACGGCGAGTACCGCGAGAATGTCACCTTCCACTCCCACCCGATCGTCGCGGGGGAGAGGACCGCCCTGCTCACGCGCATGGCCGCCACCGTCTTCGAGATCTACAACGTGCTGCTCTCCAAGGGCTACATTCACGTCAAGATGGTCGGCCGCAAGTCCACCCGCGACAATGTCCTCAAGCTGCTCGGTGAGCTCGAGGGGCCCATGTCGTCCGTCCTCACGCGGCTCAACCTGCGCCTCGACAGCTCCGCTCCGGCGTCGCAGAACGAGCGCCACGACACCACCCTCGCCCTGCAGGCATCGATTACTGCTTGGTCCAAGCTGGCGTCGGCGGGGGACATCGACGCGCTCGACTCGCGGACCGCGTACTCGGCGTGGCTGGAGAAGGTGTACACCGAAGACGCCGCCGCTGGGGACACGCTCGTCGTCTCCACGATCCACGGGTACAAGGGCCGGCAGGCGACTCGCGTATGCATCTTCCAGCCCGACCACCTGCCGCTGCCCGACCGGCTCAGGCTCAAGGACGACCCGTGGCGGTCGTGGGAGGCGGACGAGGAGCGATGCATCTTCAATGTCGCCCTCTCGCGGGCGGAGGACAGGCTGCATCTCATGGTACACCTCGAGGACGGCGCCAACCGCACCGGACTCCTCACCCTGTGGGACGCGCCGGCCGACCTGGAGACCTCGCAGTCAACCGAGGCCACCGCGTCCATCATCTCTTCACAGGTGTGCACTCGCATGCCCTTCCCCCCCCCTGCCCCCCCCGCCCTCTCAGCCTCCCTCTATGCTCCGAGCAGGAGTCCGCCGGCGAGCCGGATGAGGTGGACGAGGCCACCAACGGCGCCCTCGCCGTGCTGCAGCTCGAGGCCGTGCCGGCCAACCTTCAGGAGCTCGCGGCCGCCGTGCGGCAGAACCTCCGCGCCGCCAACTCGTCCATCGCCAACTTCGACTCGCCGGCGGTGCAGGCACGCACGCAGGAGTGCTTGGGCGCGCGCCGCCACCTCACCAAGGTGATCACCCGCCGCAACCTGCAGCGGGTGGACGACGCCATGGCACTGCACCACTAGACGCGCTCTCAGTGAAGAGGGGGGCTCGCCCACGCCACCGGCTAGTCCAGCGGCATCGGCTTGCGCCACCGCCATCGGCGCCAACGCCACCGGCATCGGCTCCCCCCCCCCCCCCTCCCGCTTGAATGTGAGTCTTGTGTCGCACTCTCAGTGAACCTCCCGTGTCCTGTCTGAATGTGAGTCTTTGTGTCGCACTCTCAGTGAGGAGGGGGTTTGCCCACGCCACCGGCTAGTCCCGCGGCATCGGCTTACGCCACCGCCAGCGGCGCCAACGGCATCGGCTCCCCCCCCCGCCCCCCTTCCCGTGTCCGGCTATTGTCGCCTGCATACATGCTCGTTAAACGCGGGATGCTCACCCCTAGCACAGAAAAGAGAAAAGAGACGAGGACCACAAAGAGAAGGAGGAGTGCGGGCGCCACGCCCGCGCCCCCGAGCCAGCTAGTCATAGCCTCCATAGACGACGCGACACACATGTCCGGCGATATCCTTCGTGGTCTCATCCAAGCAGCAGGCATACCTCCTCTCTGCATTGCGTCCAGCTTCACGAAGTGCATGAATACGACATGATGCGCCCACGACGTGCGCCGTGGGCTCAATGGAAGTGGCGGTGTTGTGATCTTTCCGCTCAATGGAAGTCCGAGGCGCCAAGACTTCCACCCATATCACGACGCGATGCGCTTATGGTGGCTGCTTGAATACGCCTTCGTCGCGCACAAGCTTCGGCTAGGCGTCTATAGGGGTGAGAGCTGGCCGTGGAAGGTCGTTGGTCCAATGGGCCAAGCACTCCTGAGCGCACTTGACGAGCACGGCGTGAGACCGCTACCGAAGGGTGGCTGCCCGGGCTGTACCGAGCTGCGACTAGACAATTGGACCATTTCGCCGTGGGGGGACGACTCCAAGCTGTTCCTCTCGTGGCCAGGAGCGACGAGCGCGGTGTGGCACAAAATGCAACACGAGTGCCGCAACATCTCTACGCATTACGGCCGGGCATCACCGTCTAGTTTGTGGTGGGAGGCGCCACGGGGCAGCTCCGACGCGAGAGCAGCCGATCAGGTCATTCACCAGGCGCCCACCCATCGCATTGCCGTGAACGGTCACGCTGATTCTCCCGAGGAGAGGCAAGCGAGCGAGCGGCGCGTCGTGTTGCTGGATCGCAGCCCACCGCGTCAGCTGATCAGCCGCGGCGCGGTACGCTGGCCTCTCCTCCGTGATCAGGTGAGCACCAATGACACATGCCATACTGCGCAGCAGTGGAGTCTGCCTGCATACGCGTACGTCACGCCGCACGGCGCACAGCTCAACAACCGCTTTCTTATGACCCAGCAACCGCTTCCGTGCCTTGTCGAGATCTTCCCCCGCGGCTACTACACCTCGTGCTACGTGCTGCCCTTCAGCCCGCAGCGTCACGTTCAGGTGATGGGCCAGCGCGTGTGGGACGTGCACGCTAGCGTGGGCTCGCCACATGCGCTGCAGTCTGGGTGGGTCACCACCAACTACAGTAAATGTGATCACTTGGGCGAGATGAATGATGGAAGTCGTGCTCAGAAATTCTGCCAAGCTCGTGTGCGTTCCGCGCTTCGGGCACAGCCAGTCGAAATTGACAATACGACGCTCGACGCTGCCCTGGTGCTTTGCGCGCATGCTGTCGTACCTACATCGTGCCAGGCGTAGCTGGTGGCACGATGCGATCGCCGACCGGTAACGTGCAAGCATGCGTTCCGATTTCGCACGGTCCCGTACCGTTCTCACACATCCATAAACTCACTTTGGCCTCACTGAAGCGATGCCTCAATCCTGAATCCTCAGATTTTAGATTAGGACGCTGCGGACCCTCTACGACGAGGCGTAGCTGTGTACGTGCGGGGAGTACAGTGTTGCGTGTCCGTTAGCTCCGAGTAGCCGAGGGGGCGTTCTGCAGATCTGCAGTTAAGGGGAGAGACCCGGTACACGGAACGACCAACCCCCGTGTTTATTTTACGGCCCTTTGGAAGGCCCTTTCCCTGCGAACGCGCACACCCCCCAGGGCTCTAGGGCTCCCTAGGCCTAGCCCGCAACCCGATCCCGATCATCCGGCCCGCTGGGTGCGCTTCTTAGCTCCCCGGCCCCCTGGATGTGAGGCTGAGGACTGCACTCCAAGCAAGTGCTCCAAGTCGTAGAGCCGTACGTTATCCAGTACCGTACCCGTCTCTCGCATCCACGAAAACGCGAATAAACACTTCCGGGCTCCGTCCCCGGGGCTCTCTCGCGCTAAAGGGTATGCACTGGGGGCGTAGAGAGAGGAAATGGAACGAGCTGCCCCGCCGACCCGTGCGACACAGCTGCAGGGCGCAACGGGGACGGCGCCCCGGCGGCTATACGTGCCGGGGGAGGGGGGGGGGGGGGAGGTCGGCACCAGGGCGCGCGAGTCACAGCACGAGGCTGCCCATGGGACGTCTGTGCACGGTAGGGGGAGGGGGAGGCCTACTCCTCGCTCTTCCGCCCGGTGGGAGGGGGGGACGGCCCTACTCCTCTCCCTTCTTGGCCGCCGCCACCTCCACCTCGTCGCGGATGACGGTGTTCTTCTTTCCCTCCGTCGCGGACGCCACCTAGGGGTGTGGTGCTAGGGTGGGATGGGGCGTGGAGAGGGGGGGGGGCAGGTCTTGGACACTAAGGCTGCCTACTACCTATTGCGTGAGCACGCGCTAGAGGCCGTCATCGCATTCGCCTTCCTGGGACCCAGCGGCTCCCCTCGGCTCCTTTCGGCTACCCTCACCCTCGGCTGCCCCTCGTCTCCTCTCGGCTCCTCTCGGCTCCTCTCGGCCCCCCTCGGCCCCTCTCGGCTCCCCTCCTCTCCCCTCCTCTCCCCTCCTCTCCCCTCCTCCCCCCTCGGCCCCTCTCGGCTCCTCTCGGCTCCTCTCGGCCCCCCTCCTCTCCCCTCAGCCCCTCTCGGCTCCTCTCGGCTCCTCTCCCCGCCTCTCCCCTCCCCTCCTCTCCCCTCGGCCCCTCTCGGCTCCTCTCGGATCGTCTAGCCGCGCACCATCGGCCGCCCTCCCAAATCAATCGGCGTCTCCTTCGGAAGCGCCTGCGCCCGGAGACAGAGAGAGGCGGTGAGAGGCGGCGGCTGGGCGGCGGGGGGAAGGCGGGGAGAGGCGGCGCGGAGGCAGCGCGCGCAGCACTCTCGGGCAGTCTCGGCGCATCTCGGGCAATCTCGGCGCATCTCGGGCAATCTCGGCGCATCTCCCTGGTCTCAAAGACGACCGGGCCGATGTTTGACTCCTTTTCGAGCGTCTGGTAGTTGTTCCGGCCGGCCGCCTGTATCTCGCCCGCCTACGGGGAGGTATGGGGAGATACGGGGAGATACGGGGAGATACGGGGAGATACGGGGAGGTACGGGGAGGTACGGGGAGGTACGGGGAGGTATGGGGAGGTCCGGGGAGATACGGGGAGGTACGGGGAGGTACGGGGAGATGTGGGGAGATACGGGGAGGTACGGGGAGATGTGGGGAGGTATGGGGAGATACGGGGAGGTACGGGGAGATACGGGGAGGTACGGGGAGTCCGGGGAGATACGGGGAGGTATGGGGAGGTACGGGGAGATACAGGGAGGTACGGGGAGGTACGGGGAGATATGGGGAGGTCCGGGGAGATACGGGGAGGTACGGGGAGGTACGGGGAGGTACGGGGAGATGTGGGGAGATATGGGGACTCCACGTCTAGACGACAGGAGCCCCACGGCATTGAACGTGCAAGGCCCGGTGTGTGTGTATGTGTGTGTGTGTGTGTGTGTGTGAGTGTGAGTGTGTGTGTGTGTGTGTGTGTGTGTGTGTGTGTGTGTGTGTGTGTGTGTGTGTGTGTGTGTGCGTGTGCGTGTGTGTGTGCGTGTGTGTGTGTGTGTGTGTCTGTGTCTGTCTGTGTCTGTGTGTGTGTCTGTGTCTGTGTGTCTGTGTGGGTACGCCTTGGACTCGTAGTTGCCGCCCGCGTTCGAGCCGAGGTCGTAGTTTGCGCCCGACGCCTAAGTCATGTCTCCCCACATCTCCCCATATCTCCCCATATCTGGGGAGCCGAGGTCGTCACTTGCGCCCGACGCCTGAGGCAACCAGCCCGCCAGCAGCCAGTCAGCGCTACACGCCTCCTGGCATGGAGGACGGCGCGGGGGGGGGAGGGGAGGGGGGGGGGGGGGGGGGCACGCCTGAGGTGACATCAGCAACGAGTCCCACGCCATTCGACTGGTCCATGCGAGGGCCGTCTACAGCGCCCGGCGCCTTCTTCAGCTTTTCGCGGATCACCTCCTCTGAGATGTCGTCCTAGGGCAGAAAAGAAAACGAACGGGCGGTGCTTCTTGCCTCACCGCCAAGCGCCGCTCACGGCCGGGCTATGTCTAATCTCGGCTAATCTCGGCTAATCTCGGCGAATCTCGGCCAGATGACGAGACGCCCTCAGGTACGAACCTCGGCTGATCTCAGGTGCGAATCTCGGCTGATCTCGGCTGATCTCAGGTGCGAATCTCGGCTGATCTCGGCTGATCTCAGGTGCGAATCTCGGCTGATCTCGGCTGATCTCAGGTGCGAATCTCGGCTGATCTCGGCTCGTAGCGGCTATTGGCCCTCCTTGTCGTCAGCCTGGATGTCTCCCCATATCTCCCCATATCTCCCCATATCTCGCCATATCTCGGCTATTGGCCCTCCTTGTCGTCAGCCTGGATGTCAACCACCGTCCAGCCGAGGGCGTCCTGCGGCCAGGCACGCACCGCAGTTACTTCATTGTAATTCATGGTTCAGTAATGCAGGTGTCCCGCCAGGCGCGCATTGCAATTACTTAAGCAAGCGAGCGCTAGTGAACTCCCAGGGAACCGATATGCCTCACGGTGTGTTTACAATACTCAGGGTCCCGCTGTTAAGTAATTGATCAATATTGCTATCTCTCGGCTAGACCTCGGCTAGACCTCGGCTAGACCTCGGCTAGACCTCGGCTAGACCTCGGCTAGACCTCGGCTAGACCTCGGCTAGACCTCGGCTAATCCTCGGCCATCATCTCTCGGCTAGTCAGCCAGTCCACAACTCGGCCCATCTCGGGTCATCTCGGCTCCATCTCGGGGCAACTCACCTTGACCGCCATCTTGTGGCTAGCCACACGCCCCTTTGCCATCCCTCCCACCTGTGCGGGGGGGGTATGGGGAGATATGGGGAGATATGGGGAGGTACGGGGAGATATGGGGAGATATGGGGAGGTACGGGGAGGTACGGGGAGGTACGGGGAGATGTGGGGAGGTACGGGGAGATATGGGGAGATATGGGGAGATATGGGAGATATGGGGAGATATGGGGAGATATGGGGAGATATGGGGAGATATGGGGTATGGGCCGTCTGCCACCCCTCCCCACCTGTGCCGGCCGGGCAACAGCTCTGGTTCCCTGACTGCAATGCCCCGTGTGTGCTCCGCGAGTGAGCGTGTGCCCCGTCGCCCGTGCTCCAGAGCAGGCATGAACGCACTGGCGCGGCTGGCTGCCAGGGCTGCCGCGGCCGCGGTGTCGCCGAGTGCGTGTCTTCTTTTGCCTTGCCCGACGGTCGGGGCCTCAGCCCTGGCGAGGAGAGGCACACGCACGCTCTCTCGAGGTCTCTAGGAGCGGAGCCGCGGCGAGTGACCCAAATGGGTCCTCGGAGCGGGTACCCTGGGTGGGCGGGGCCTCTACTCGCCAGACCTCTGCCTGTCCGGCCGTCCTCTGGCTGGGGAGATATGGGGAGATAGGGGGAGATATGGGGAGATATGTCCGCCCGTCCTCTAGCTGGTCCGTGTGCGTGCGACCTTTGGCGTCGCCATGCTGCTGTGTGCCGCCGTCCAGCTACCGTGCAACATCTCCAAGCGCCTCGGTGCTGGCCAGGGGTGGGAGCACGGAAGTGTCTCGGAAGTGTCTCGGAAGTGTTTGGGCTGCAGGTCTGCGCACGCCAGCAAGCCCGTGGCGGCCTGCACTGCGGGAGCCGACCACTCTAGCTCTTCGCTGCCCCGGCGGTGCAGTGTCTCGGACGTGTTTCGGACGTGTCGCGGACGTGTCTCGGACGTGTCTCGGACGTGTCATGTCTCGGTCGTGTCTCAGAGACGGTCGTGTCTCAGAGAGGGCTGACTGCACCGACGACCCTACCCACGTGATGAAGACAAACTTGACGGCCTGCACCGAATCAGCGAGGACGGGCTTCAGAGGGGTGCGCTGTGGTGCGAGTGCGGGCGTGTGCCAGTTTTCTTCAGTGGCTCGGCGACGGCAACAAGCGGCAGGCAAGCAGACGCCGGGGCAGGCATGGGCACACCTTGGACTCCTGGTCACGGCCGCCCTCGACGCGCAGCAGGACGTACTGCACCTCGCCGTCATCCAGCTCGCCTACGGCGGCCCCCGCGGCGCCTCCGAGAAGGCTCCCGAGCAGCACACACTGTGCCGGCGAATTGCAGAGTGAACCGGCCATCTCGTCCATCGAGCCGCTTCCGGTCTTTTGGAGAATGAGCTTCGCCTGAGAAGGAGGCGTTGATGGTCGGTTGCGGCGGCCGTGCAGCGCCATCGCGGCAGAGGCGAGAGACAGGGCTGCAGAGGCGATGCTTTGCTCGGGCGGGCGGCGCTCGCCTTGCCGTCGTATTTCAGGATGGCGTACATGTCATCGGTGCCGTCGTCTCGAACCGAGGCGATTGCCGTGGAGATTCCACCGTCGCTCACGTCCACCGAACCCATGGCTCGCGCCTTTTTGCCCTCGCTGAATGCCTCGGCGTCTCCCCTGCCGGCGATTTAGGGCATCGTGAAAAAGAATTTAAACAACACAAGTCTCTCACACAGCACAGTGGGACGGCCGCGAGGTGGCACGAAGGTTGAAGCGAGAATCGGAGAGAGACTGCGAAGAGAGATAGGAAGAGGCAGACTCCCTAGGGTAGGCGACGGCTAGCGCATCACACCCCTCTCCTTAAAATCCCTGTGTGGTGGCGGCGTGCCGTTCTCCCATCCCTCCCTTGGCAATCGCTGGAAGTGCGCAGAGCAGCCCGAGCGAGGAGGCGCGGCGGGTGTGCATGGCCGACCAGCCGCGCTGCGCCGCCACGGTGCGGCCCGGGCGCGATCGGTCGCAGCGGGGGCGAGGCCTTACCCCCGGGGACAACACTTACCCGAGCTGTTGCCACCACAGCGCTGCAAATTTGCGAGTATTGCAAAAGTCCGATAAGTCGCGCGACCGCAAACTTTATACCTTCCATAGGAGGACGACCGCGAGGTGGCATGAAGGTTGCAGCGAGAATCGGCGAGGGACTGCGAAGAGAGATAGAAAGAGGCAGACGCCCAAGGGCGGGCGACGGCTAGCACCACACTCCTCTCCTTATTAAAATCCCTGTGTGGTGGCGGCGTGCCGTCCTCCCCTGGGTTGTCTTCTTTTTTACCTTCCATCTTCGAACCGCGGTGAGAACGAACCTGCCAAGGTGCACGTTGTGGACCGAGTAGACAACACCTCACATCGCCGCGGTCCTTCCTAGCTTCTGCAGCACCAAGGCCTGCGTGTTTTCACCTTACCCGCCAGAGGGGGAGTGTTTTTTTCTCTCTTTCACGAATTCGGCGCCGAGTCGACCCGAGCCAGTAGGGCGCCGGCGCCCCAGCGTAGAGGGCCTCGTGTAGCCCTCCTTTTGGTATTATAAAATGGTGTTGTGCAGCGAAGGGATGGTACCGGTCAAGGTCGGCTTCATCGGTGCCGGCATGATGGCCGGCGCGATGATCCGCGGCCTCGTGAGCTCGAAGACGTGTCCGGCCGACTGCGTGATTGCATCGGACGCGTATCAGCCGTGCGTCGATGGGCTGGCCGAGGAGCTGGGCATCACGTCGGGCGGTTCGAACAAGGACGTCGCCTTGTTCGCCGACCTCATCGTCCTCGCCGTCAAGCCGCAGATGGTGGAGGACGTGTGTGCAGACATCAAGGGCTCCGGCACCAATCCTCTCGTCGTCTCGATCGCCGCGGGCGTCACGATCGAGTCGCTCGAGGGGTGGCTCGGCTCGAGCGCCCGCGTGGTGCGGGTGATGCCAAACACGCCGTGCCTCGTCGGCGAGCTTGCCGCCGCCTACGCCCCCAACGCAGCGTGCTCCGCCGCCGACGCGGCGACGGTCAGCTCTCTGCGGTGCGGGCGGCGGGCGTATGAAGTAACCAATGAATGATTAAGAATCAGGCGACGGTCGGCTCTCTGCTCGGCGCTCTCGGCACGGCGTTCAAGGTCAAGGAGGCCGACCTGGACGCGGTGACGGGACTGTCAGGCTCTGGCCCCGCCTACGTCTTTCAGTTTATCGAGGCAGCTGCGGCCGGCTCGTCGCGTGCGGCTGCGCGACCTCGAGATGGCCCGAAGTCACCCGAGAGTAGGCCCTCTCCGACGGAGGCGTGCGCGCAGGCCTCACCCGCCCGATCGCGACGGCGCTCGCGGCGAAGACCGTTCGCGGCGCCTAATCTCGGGTAATCTCGGGTGATCTCGGGTGATCTCGGGCGATTAGGCGCTCGCGGCGAAGACCGTTCGCGGCGCGGCGACGATGGTGCTGCAGACAGGCAAGCACCCGGGGGAGCTGAAGGACCAGGTGACGAGCCTTGCCACAGCCGCAGGCTGGCGCCCCAGAGTTCGCTTTCAGCAGTTTCTGGCCCGTCCAGGTGACGAGCCCTGGCGGCACGACAATCACGGGCGTCCACGCGCTGGAGCAGGGCGGGATGCGCGCGGCGGTGATGAACGCGGTGCTCGCCGCGACGGCACGGTCGCGCGAGCTGGGCAAGAAGTGACGAAGCGGGAGAGCGGAGTCGGGTGTGTGAGGTGGTGCTAGGCAGCCTTGTGCAGGGCAGCCTGTTGTGCCGCAGTGGGCTCGTTGGCGTGTTTTTCTTCGGTGACGGGTGAGCGCCGAGCGCAGAAGGGGAGCGCGGCGTCCGTTTGCCCCCCCCCCCTCCCCCCCCCATCTTTGTTTACCGATGCATCCTAGAATGCAAAAAAACGCATTCTCTAGGACGCACTTTTCAATTTCATCTCAAATCAAAGATACCATATTAAATAAATAAATAAAAACGGACACCTCTGTACTGTGAGATGGATCTTTGTGCAGGGTTCTTTGTGGGTGTGGTCGGCGACTAGCCGGGGTCGTCCTCCCGGTGGGCGGTGGGGGACATCGCACTAGCCGCAGATACCATATTGTCGCTCGGGTACACTATGCGATGTAACTTATTCCGGGGCCCGTGTGCGGGGAGCGAACCTTAGCGACCGCCCAGAAGCTTTCTGAGCGAACCAATCGGGCCAGGATCATCAGCATATGTCCCCTCCACAACATCGTGGGCGTTTGAGCGGTATTTGAGGAGCACCGCCACTCTGAAGTTCGGCCGGGTGGTCTGCAGACCCCCCCCCCCCGGAGCAGCAGAGGCTCCGTGGGGTCGAAAAGTCGACGCTGGGAGTCGCAATCGTCAAACCGTCGCAACACCACGCGGTACGCACGTACCGCCCACATCCCCTCCACCGCTGAGCAGGCGCAGATCGACCGCCGGGCCGCGTAGTCGTCGTCAAGGAGCGGTTTTTGGAGCCGTAGCCCGTACGACGAGGTCCCAGACGGGCGAAGATGCGGTTTTTCGACGACCACACGCGATTTGGTATCTGGTTTTTGCTAAAAACGGGCCGCCTAGTGCAGCATCACTAGTACAACACGCAACCACACTGATAGCTCCACACTGGCCGGTATAGGCGAGAACCGACGGCGTCACGGTCGCCGGAGTGGACGCACTGCACACACACTGTGACCGTGTCGACGGTGTGACAGTGAGCTGACACAATCGTCGGCGCCGCGCTATCGCGGCGCCCCGCAGTCTACACGCCTCAGACGCACCCCTGAACGCGCCATGGGCGCGCAGATACACCGCAGCGCCGAGGAGAATCCACACCTGGCCGGTCCCGAGCCCCGTCCTGGGCCTCCAGGCGGCCGAAGATCGGCGTTCGGGCGGGATGAACTTGTCGGAAATGGAGCAAACTTGGCGCGGCTCGCCGCTCGCGGTACCGGGTGAGCCTGGATAGGGCAAAATCTGGGGTGAATACGAGGGACAGAGGTCGCAAGTTTGTCGCGCAAGTTTGCGCGGCGTGGCGCTGCCCCGCTGCCGAGGGCGCCACCAACCCGTGGCGGCGGCATTTCCAGCCCAAATTGGGCGTTCCGTGCGCCTTGCCGGCGAGAGTGGACGGGCTGTGCATCGTGGGGGGGGTGAGTGGGAGGGAGGTGGTCGTGTGCCTACTTTGTCGGCCGCGCGCGAGGAGAATTCTGGGTGTGAGGCGCGCAGGAGGCGAGGGTGGGCGCGCCGGCGGTCGAGCCGCCGAACAATTCGACGTGGCGCAGCTCCGTGCCGGCGGGGACGACCAAGCACATGATGTCGGCGGCGGTCGCGCGACGAGCGAGAGCCGCAGGGGCCCTCTGAGAGCCAGGCGCCGAAAAGCAGCGATGAGTGGCGCCGCGATCAGCCACCTGTGGGCGGTCATCGGGGTCGCGGTCAAGCTCGCGACGGGGTAAATCTGGTGCTTCTAGTATCACTGGTGGGCAGGGTGTGCAGCAGCCGCGCTCAAAAAGAGGCAAAAAAAGCGGCTGCTACTTTGAGTGTCTACTTTCTCGACACACCGTTCTCGGCCCGGCCGGAAAGCTGGCTGGTGGTCGCGCGCAGCGCGTCGGCGCGCTCCAACTGGTTGGGCACCTCGGCTGGGTCCATCGGCAAGAGGCCCGCGCCGTCGGGCGGCCCCGGGAGCGCATGATGCCCCTCCGAGAGGCGCTGACGCCCCGCCGAGATCGCGCTGGTTTGGCACGAAAAACACGAGGCGCGGAGGGGGGGGTCCGAATAAGATACATCATAACACAGGGCATTCTAGGATGCGACGGCTCGCTGTCCTGGAGATGGCCGCGCCGTGTCTTTTGTTGCGCGTTCCATCTTAGACGCCACAAGCATCTATAGATGCACAGCTAAGTGCTGCGATCGGGGGTGGCCCATTTCTTGTTTCCTTTCTTTTGGGGGGTCCTGTGGGCACCCTACCGAGTCAGAATCAATCGCGATAGCCCGTGATGTCCTCGAGGAGTTCGTCGTAGGCGGCATAGAAGGGACCGTGCTGGTCCCGCGCCTCTGCTAGCTGCGCTGCGAACTAACTGACTGGTTGGTTGGTCGCCGCCAGCCGCGTAATGGTTGCTGTTGTGCGGCGAGCATGACGGTGTCGCCATTGACTAGGTTAGGTTAGGTAGAAAGGTGAAGAACAGTCAGGCTCGGACTGGACACCAGCGCGGTATGGGTGGACGCGGGACTTTGATAGTCGCCAAGAAAAGAATTCCAAGCGCGGTCGACGAAGACGGCGCGGCCTGGGCGTGGTTCAACAGAGCTGCATGAGCGGCCGGCGTCGGCCGGCCACGCTTCAGAATCGATGCCGCCGCCGCCTGATGCCTCTCCCGCCTTTGCCGGCCGCTCGCGCTTGCCCAAGCCGGCCTCTGATCTGAATCCAGTGTCTTCCGGCCTGCCGTCTCCGCTGCAGCAGGCGCGTGATGTGCCGCGCCTCCGGCTGCTGGCCTCGCGCGAGCTGCGCCCCTCCCGCGCAGTCCAGCCGCCGCTCCGCTTCTCAGATACGCCACATCCTCGTCCCTGCTCCCTTGCTCTCTCTCTCTCCCCACGGCCCGCCGCCCGCTCCCTGTGCTGTCCGTCGCCTTGCTCCTTCCCTCACCCTCACACGGCGCCCCTCCCCTCCGCAGGCGGCGGACGACTCGTCG